TGTGTCTCTAGGTAAGAACAGAGGCAGAGGCCTGCAGACTCACAAGTTCATGTGCAGTTTAAGTGAATGGGGACGATATTGTTGATTGTCATAGTCTTCAACCAATCAGATCTTTAGTTTGACATGTTGGGCGTATTCTTTGACGTGTCAGAGCCTGCTAGCTGGCCTACAAGTACGTCAGCATTACGTGCAGCTCAGTTTTAAGGTGCAGCTCTGCAGTGAGGTGCAGAGTGTGCTGTGATTGGTCAGTGGGCGAGCACGTGACTATCGTGAAACGAAACTTAAGCAGAGGCTTAGTCGGCATTGTGAATCACATCACGTGATGCAGCTCAGCTAATCAAATATGGGCATTCTGACAAGTTTCCTGACTCGAGTGAGATGTACACACACCGTGACACAGGGGGCTGAGACGAGGAAAGACGTTGCAGAGCAGTACGTCTAATGTTTTAGTTGTGAAAGTAAAATCATAAGACGAACTCTTTGGGCCGCGGCTTGATGATGATGATGGTGGGTCCCATAGCCAGACCAGCTGAGATCCACTGTCCTACATGAGCACAGAAAACATTATATTTTCCTGAATTTAAGCTTCTGCATTTTCCAAATGCTCTGGTATTATTCAAAGGTATCGTAAGCCTCGTACCGAACGGTTTAATATGAATACGTACAGCCTTAAAAACGAATAATAGCTGCGGCGCAATCATGTGGTTATAAGGTGGTATTTCAGCTGCAGGACAGCAGTGAAGGCCTAGGTATAAAATGCACGGCCCGCCACTGGTATATATATACGTATATATATATATATATACGTATATATATATATATATATGTGTGTGTGTCTGCAGGTTGTCCTGCACTTGAAAAACATAGCACGTGGTAATTTTAGTGGAAAAAGGGTATATGAGGTCACGTATGACATCAGCGTAGACATGGGTCAATCCAATGGGGGTCAGGCCAATGGCATCAAAGCATCACTTAACATTGTTGTAATAACCATGGATTGATGACTGAACAGGCCCAGGGGCCCAAAGAGTCAGAATATCAACAAATAGACACAAAGCAACCACAAAGAGACACAAAGCAACCACAAAGAGATGCAAAACAACCACAAAGAGACGCAAAACAACTACAAAGAGACGCAAAACTACTACAAAGAGACACGAAACAACTACTACAAAGAGACATGAAACAACTACAAAGAGACATGAAACAACTACAAAGACACAAAACTACTACAAAGAGATGCAAAACTACTACAAAGAGACACAAAACAACTACAAAAAGAGAGCAAAAAACACGGACAAAAAAGAAAAATGACAAAAGGACTAAACCATTACAGAGTTACAAAACAACTACAAATAGACACAAAGGGACAACAAAGGGACACAAAATGACCACAGAGAGATTCATGAGGATGACAAAGAGACATAAAACATAGGAGAGGTAGGGACGCCCAAGGGTCCATGGTATTAACTAATAAAATGAAATGTTTTAACATGCTTTTCACGTCTCTAGAAACCAGATTTGAACATTTAAAAAAATGTAGCATGTACTGTATAGAAGAAAATATCTTCATAAGAACACATAAACTACATGTTTGTGGTTTGAGATACTTTTCTCTCTTCATCTCCTCTAGCATGTGTTCCTTGCTGTACGCCTCCCTCTTACTTCATATGTGCCTGATCAGTGTGGCCTTTCAGTTCATTTTCATCACCACTCACTTTTACTGTTTTAAATTGAATCATTATTTGAATCACTATAGAGCAGTAAACCAATTGCTGAAAACCTTTTTTTTTACTGTGTGTGTGTGTAGGTCACAGTGGAGTAAACCAGCTGGGAGGTGTGTTTGTGAATGGGAGACCTTTACCTGATTCTACCAGGCAGAAGATAGTGGAGCTGGCACACAGTGGAGCTCGACCTTGTGACATATCCAGAATACTGCAGGTAATCTCGTCATGCTTAGAGTTGATCCTCTCAGAGGTGGCACTAACAGTGGTAGTAGATACCTCGCAGTAGAAATGTTACAATGAGTTAGAGGTTTGGGGTTCAGCATCCAGGTGCACATTGTATGTCAATGTCCTCCCAAGAAAAATAGCGCATGAGTGCATTCATTTCCTGAAATGTCGACTCATGACCACAGTTATAACACACAAGGAACAAGGTGGGAGGTGGGATGCCTCGTAGCAAGGGACCTACAGAGGTCTGGTCAGCCCACTTCTTTCTCACTCCACACCCCCAGATTTGTTTTTTCAAACTCAAACAAGCCTCAACCAACATTGACTTGAGTGACATCACTTGAGGCAATTTAGCAGATTTTGCACTGCTCCCTAGGCTTCATACAACTTTTTCACACATGCAGTAGGACTCTCCAAAACCTGTATACACATATTGAGGTTTTTAACCATTGCTGTGATCGTTCCTTAGATCATTTACCAAACAGAAACTTCTTGGATGCCAGTATTTATATTTGCCCCAGTTATGAATAACTAATAATGTGTGCTGTTTTTGTGTCCAGGTGTCGAACGGCTGTGTGAGTAAGATCTTGGGACGGTATTACGAGACAGGTTCGATCCGTCCTCGGGCCATAGGAGGGAGTAAACCCAGGGTGGCCACTACAGAGGTGGTGGGGAAGATTGCTCACTACAAGAGGGAGTGTCCGTCCATCTTCGCCTGGGAGATCAGAGACCGACTGCTGGCAGAGGGAGTCTGCACCAACGACAATATTCCCAGTGTAAGAACCTTCTGTTCTTCAGCCAAGTCATGGCAGTCAGAGGTTTGAGCAAGGAAAGCTAGACTATAGCAAAACATTGTACATAATAGCTGATGTATTTGTTATTGTACACTATTACAGCAAGCTTGCAGGTTGGATTGGTTTAATTGGTATAATAGTTTGTTGGAGTGGGCAGATGCAGTCTTAAAAACCCAAATACCCAGCGTAACAGAAGTTAGAGCGTCTTTAACTTCTGTACTGTGAGTATTCCCCAATGAAACGGAATATTTGAGCAGTGTACAGTTACAAAAAGGATTTGAATCAAATCTTTCACATTTGATTGGACCGCTACAAAGTGGGCGGGCTAGATTGATGGATGGAGGTCATGATATTATTGATTGAAATTGGTTGGTAGTAGTTTACGTAAGCACACGTCATATTTGGTTTGACAGGAACAAAAGACAACTGGATTTTAAATATAGAAATATGAAGAAATAGATTTTTTACATATATTGTTAAATATAACCGGGAATGTGATCTCAAAAGGGTTAAAATGGCATTTTTCATTTCATCTTGACTTTAAATTGCATATCAAAAGTGAATGCCAATTTGCTTTTCACTAAAATCAAAACCAAGCAATTGAGGAAAAAAAACAATACTTTACAATTTTCTGCTTTTTCCGTGTAAAACAAATGATACCTTTGTTATACCTCTGCACACTGGTTGAAAGTTCTGTATGTGGAACAGTTAGCCTAACCTATAGTAACTCAATTCATGAATGGATATGGACCTAGAAAAGTGAAAAGAAGCAAAATAGACCTGTAACCTTTTTACATACTGATGGTTGGTACAAAATTACAAATTGTATTTTAAATATTTATAATGTCACTAAGTAATGTGAAGAAATAAACAGAGTATCCAGTTTACTGCAATGGTTCTTGGACAAACACTCCCTGACTGAACTTTGTCATTGAAGCAACCTGTCAATCACTGTGTAGCCCCGCCCTAAAGCATACCCTGCTTTATGGTCTGTTTGACTCTAAATGGACCATAATTTACTAAATGAACATCATGCTGTATTGAAGAAGACTTGAAACTAGAGATTCAGACCATAAACTCATGTTTACAATGTTTACTGAGGTAATAAATCAAGAGAGAAGTAGAGTCATTTTCTCATAGACTTCTATACAACCAGAGGAGTCGCCCCCTGGTGGACACTAGAGAGAATGCAAGTTCAAGGCATGTCCACATTTGCATCACTTTGCAGAACATGAAGTTGCCGCCTGGTGGAAAGTCTAATGTAAAATGAATTATGACATGTAAAAATGAAAAGGTGGAGACACCAACATGACTGATGCTCTTTAGTGTTTCTTTAAATGGACATGATGAGGCTGACTGTTTCTGCCTTACATATCCACCAAAATTGTTGCTCTTAAATATTCACGTTTTTGCGCTCATCACCAGGTTTCATCAATAAATCGAGTGCTCAGGAACCTGGCCAGTGATAAGCAGCAAATGGGCACAGTGGGAGCTGAAGGGATGTTTGACAAACTCAAGATGCTCAATGGACAAACCACCTGGGGAGGACGCTCGGGGTGGTACGCTGGGACTACACTCACTACCACTGGTAAGACACTAACTCCACTACTACTACTACTACTACAGTGCTGACAGGAGTGAGGGCTAGGTGTGAGCGTGGCTGATTACAGATGAGCCGAAAACAACAAGAGGCCAGAGATAATAGGAACTAACCATTGTGGCTGAAACAACGATCTGTCACCGGATGAGAGAAGAGATGGGGCTGTTTTCATACAGCTTTCGTAGATACGCCTACAGAAGTTAACGTCCTGTAATTCATAAATATCCCGCAAAATCAATGTGTTAGCCACAAAATCATGATCAAGGTAGTATAAAGACCACAAAAAGGGGAGGGGAGGTGGACGAGTCAAACAAAAAACAGTCTTTAACCCAGGAGACTGCTGTGTGAAATGAGAAGTCAACATTGATTTACTTGTCACATAACTTCCGTACTTAAGTAATTATTTTAACCCAAACCAGGATCCTTTCCTAAACCTAATTAAGTAGTTTTGTTGCTAAACCTAACTAAGTATTGCATGATATTTTTTAACCCTAACTAAGTTGTTTCCTGCGTGTAACGAGCTGAAAGTGACACGTGTTGCTGGACATTTGTAGGAAAACGAACGAAAAATGAAGAGTAGCTTTTTTGTAAGATATCATACGGACAGTTACATGAAGAAACTTTGAGAGCTTGGGTTGGAATACTGGAGAGGTGAGGATCTGATTGAAGGCAGGTGAACAGTGATCCTGGTAGACAGCAGGACAGGACCCACACAAACAGGAGAGGGAAACAGAGAGACACAAGGGATCCATTTGGGGACAAGGAAGTGACACTTGACACGAAGAAGGTTGAGAACGATTATCTCCAGGCCGAGCACACATCGGTGTGACTGACTACATTTTAATACAAAAGAAAGAATGCAAGTGTTAAGAGCTGTCTGCCTGTCCAGTACACACACACTCACTATATACAGGGCAACTGACGTTAAAGAAATATCATGAAAGTAATTGTATTTTTTCGTGTGAAATTTCATTCTTTACCATTAGTCTTTAGCCAAAAAGTTGTTTGTATTAGTATCTCTATTACCAGTGGCGGGCCGTGCATTTTATACCTGGGCCTTCACTGCTGTCCTGCAGCTGAAACACAGCTACGCTTATTATTTGTTTCGTGTAAAAATGAAGCTCAACACCTACAAATACACTAACTGCAGAGTGCAGATACATGAATACGCTAGGAGTGTTTCTCCCTCTTCTCTGACTACAGCGCAAGGCTGCTGTGAGACTGACCGCCTGTGAGTGCTTTCGGGCGGCGGAGGGGCTCACGGCAGCTCCCGCTGCTCGTCCACGACAGTGCAGTGCAGTGCAGAGTCAAAACACCAGAAAAGTTTCCAATAACACCAGAAAAAGTCACTACATTTGTCACTAGTAGCTTTTGACTCGTCATGAGGGTTTGGAAAGTCGCCAGATTTAGCGAGAAAGTCGCCAAGTTGGCAACACTGGCACCGGCTAAATATGTCCCCAGAGCAACACTGGACATAACAATAGTTCCTATCACATATTAAGCCAAAGAAAAATCTATCTTCATAAAAACAAGTTGTACAAATAATAATATATAAACAAGCATATTAAAGCTACTGCAGATGTAAAAACAAACGCATTTAACTTACCAGAGCTGCTGTTCACTATTTAAAGACAACGTCAATGCTCCTTTCTTTGTTAATAAAGAGTTTAATCCCACGGTTGTTCAGTACATCCGTGCGTTTTAGTTCCAGTAAGAAGTCCTTCTCCATTCATGGACGCCAGTGAAGACAGTCGAGCCTCCCCAGTTGTATTTCTTGAATACGTTTTAATGCGTTTGAGGGCTGAAAATGTCCGCTCCACAGAGGCAGCAGATATTGGGATTGTCACCGCCCAACATGTCACGCTAGCCCACTGACCAATCACGTACTTGTAGGCCAGCTAGCAGGCTCTGACATGTCAAAGAATACGCCCAACATGTCAAACTAAAGATCTGATTGGTTGAACACTATGACAATCAACAATATCGTCCCCATTCACTTAAACTGCACATGGATGCACTTGTGAGTCTGCAGGCCTCTGCCTCTGTTCTTACCTAGAGACACAGAGGTGAGATCTGATTGGATAAAAGCTCTACTTAAAACAAGCTGCACTGGAAGCAGAGCAACTGAGGAAGACAGTAGCTGTGCAATGAGAACATAAGATAATGGGAAACATATTTTTATAAATTATAATACATGTAGTCAGTGGCGGCTGGTGGAAAGTGTTCTAGGTAGGGCCATCCTATCAATTTCAGCAAACATCCCAGAATGATTTAATGCAAAAAAAATGAAAGTATCAAACACGCATTACTACTTTGCAGTTAAATATTTAACATTTATTCCAACACGAAAAAAAAGCAGTAAATAACACTTATATAATATAATATAACATGTTTACGTATTGAGATGCCCCTATGGACCTTGTTATAGGAGGTAAAGATCAGGAGAAGTAAACATGAAGTGTAATTATGAATACTGATGTTAAATTAAGCTATGATGAGTTTTCACTGTTAATCTACCATCTCAATTACATGTTGATGCCTCCATGACCAAGTTAAGCAGACGAGACTGAGGACAACTATGTAGAAGAAAAGATGTTCACTTTGCCTAATATGTAGCTTGACAGAGTTCTCCATGTGTGTCCTGGTGTTCTCATGTTTCCTTACCTCCTCATCCCTCACTCCCTACCCTGGTGTTCTCATGTTTCCTTACCTCCTCATCCCTCACTCCCTAACTGTCCGTGCTGGATCTGTCCCGTTGTTTTAAAAAGCTAAATAAGTTATTAGCATGACGTCATCCAGCTAGCCAAACCTGTTTGGTGTACAGCTAGTACAGAAGCTTCGCATGTACTGCTTCCCTTTCCCGCTAGTCTGCTGTCTGATTGTGAGGTCAGGCTGATCTGGGATCAGCTCTTTGGCTGCAGAATCTCCGCCAAAGGTCTCCTCTCAAACGGGTCTTGGAGGAGTAGTGCTCGCGCCGGCGCCGGCGCTCGCCTGTAGAGACTTCTCCTGACGAGAACGCACAGCTAGGGGGGCAAAATCCCTCTGGCCCCACACTGAATCTATTTGAGGGCGCTGATTGGCTAAATTGTATGTCACTCATTTATATCTTTAATCAGCAATTGGCTAAACTGCTTCATAGACCCGCCTCTTTTGGGCAAAAACGATTTGGCCCCCCTAGCTGTGTGTTCTGAGACATATCGTGCACACAGGCGGAGAGGACGAGCAGGAAAAGCATATATTTTGCGCAGATATCATATTTTACACATATTACTGGGTACATTCCATAGTTCAAAAACACAAATATTGACAATTTGTATAATTTATGATTTATGATATATATATATATTTTTTTGTGTGGCTCAAGGTGGGGCCATGCCCCATTGCCCTCTATTGACCAGCCGCCACTGCATGTACTGTATTTAAGAAAAAATATTAAATTATAAAATAGCTATAACTTTGTGATTCTGTTTAGACCAGCAGAGAAGGCCTTGCAGGCCCTGATGTCTATTACTGACTTTGACTGCAGCCTCCTTTTAGTCAGATTTGCCCCATTGTACAATGCCTTCAATTATTTTCAAAATTGACATTATACGGGACAGAGGACACATTGTATAGAGTTGACATAAGCAGTTTCCTTCAGAGTGTGCGGCTGAGGGCCCTGTTTGCTGTATGGAGGAGGCTCATGTGCTGCTGCTCCTCCTCCAGCACCCTGGGATTACAACAGTCAAACAAAGTCATGCTATACTACCACGGCTGCTGCCTCCCCATCAGTCTACAGCATGTTTGTGCCTGTGTGTGTGTGTGTGTGTGTCTGTGTGAGTAGGGGAGGGAGAATGGGGCGTCTGCTCTCATTTGTGTCTCTTTCTGCCTGACTGACTGTGACACTGAGCAATGGCTTCATTCTGTTTTGCAGTCTCCGTCTGCTGGGGATAATGAATAATTAGGCTAGCACCACAAATAACACGAGTTCCACAGGGAGCTGGAGTCGAGCTCCCGTCTGCTCGGGGATCTCACGCTGGAGATCTCCACTCTGAAGTGCCCTCCCTGTACCTTCACTCCTTTTTGCATGGGTTCATTTCATGGATCTGAGTATAACATATTTCATTGTCTACGCTGATCACGGCCTGGGTTTGAGTGAAGTACTGCAGCCATTGATTGAGTGGATATTGCTAATATACATGCTAGAGCAGGGGTGGGCAAACGTTTTGGCTCGGGGGCCACATTGAGTTTTAAAATTTCACAGACGGGCCGGGCCAGTAGCAGATGAATGGAGTGTTTGTGTGAACTAATATAAATTACAAGTAAAAGCCATGACCTATAAAGTAACTTGCATTTAATTTCAGTGGGAACAGTGTTGTTGGTCACCCTTTTTAACCAGTGCGTCAACGTTTGGTGTCAGTTTGGTTGTGGCATTTCTTAGAACAGATCTGAGGTGTTCATCAGTTAGCTGGGATCTTACACAGTATTTTTTTATCGCAATAATGCATATTTTGAACCTACTTATTAAGCAGTCATTTTTGACACAGTGGTGTTAGTGTAAAGGTTAATGACTGGTCTTTTTAGCAGTTTGATTCTTTGACCGGATCATACAAATATTTGACCGTCACATCTAGTATTATCAGAGTTCTGCTCTGTAATGTCTTTCCTTGTCTCTCCCCCGTGTCACGGTGTGGGTACATCTCACTGGCGTCAGGAAAGTATCAGAATACCCTTATTTTATTGGCTAAACTGCATTACGTGACCTGATTTACAACGCAATGGTCGGTGTTTTTCCTGCACCGCTGAACAAGTGCCATAAATGCTGGAAAGGAGCGTGAATAACTCCGCTGCATAAAGCAAAGCACTGAAAACGGGTCCGCGATGAACCACCAGTTGAGAATCACTGATCTGCAGGATCGTGAAGAGCGGTGAACAGCTGTTTGTGTGGGGTGTCTTCCGTCTCTTCCTGTTTCCTTCACCTACATTCCCCTGGGTCCTAAGCCCCTCCATGTATAGCTTCTTGTCACCGTCTTTGCACCAATGTACATTTATAACAAATACCACGCATATTACACGGTAATCAGCGTTGCATATGTGTCAAACTCTATCGGTGCATCTCCGGTCTGTCTTTGTTCATCCTGCATCGCTCTGTTCTGTTCTTTAATGTAACGTAACTGGAGCGACGGAGCCTCTCCCAGCTGTTAGCAGACTGTTGTGCTAGCAAGCAGGCTCGCTCGCGAGCTGTACCCAGCATGCAGTTCGGCGGTGAAATTTTATAAATGTACAATTATTAGTGTTACAAATTGTTTATGTGTCACAGACTGTTGTGTGCTGTGGTGTTCTTCTCTGTTAAAGAGCGTTAGTTGTGGGTTGTTAATTGTTATAAAGTTATGACCATGACTAGGGTTCCCTCTCAATACATATAAGAGAACTAGCGCTGACCGCTACAGCGGCAAAGAATACATTTAGCTCTAGCAGCTAGAGCAATGTTTACCAAAACTTTCTTTTCTGTTTATTTGTCCTCTCATCAGTAAAACAAGCCTTTCATATTAGAATCGTTGTCATAAGTAGGCTAAAATCATCAGAACAATATGCAAATTGAGGCAAGTTGCTCAAAGGTGTACTGCAGATATAACTGTTAAATAAAAGTGTATGGAAGATATATAATAGAACCTCCTGTGATACACCTGTGGGTCTGGACCCAGTCTGCCACATTGTTGGAAAGTCATTACCTACTTAAAGCTGTTCAGTGTTAGGGTTTGGTTTCCTTTTATTATGTTTGTATTAAGATGATCATGTAGTTGGTCAAAACAAAATACATCTCCTCACGTACGCACAGTTTTGAGGTACTGGTATTTCCTTAAGCATTTCCATGTTTATTACATTTTTAGCTGCTACACTTTGAAGTGGATTATTGCTATTTTTACTCCACTACATTTATCTGATGGCTGGAGTTACTTGTTACTTTATCATTTAAGATTTCACATATAGAACAGAAAATATGATGTATTATTGAAAATTAAACTCCTCATAATATCTATATTTTTTGAAAATGTATAAATTACAAAATTCAGTTTTCATCCTGTAGATTTTGATTGCATTCTTTTACTTGTAATGGAAAGTTTTTACATTGTACGACGTGAAAACCTGTTCGAGCCCAAACCCAACTTTCCTTCCTTCCTTCCTTCCTTCCTTGGTGCAGAGTGTCCACAGGCAGAGGGAGGGGAGAACACCATATCAGTTAGTTCCAACGGTGAAGACTCAGAGGAGACTCAGATGAGGCTTCAGCTGAAGAGGAAACTGCAGAGAAACAGAACGTCATTTACACAGGACCAGATAGAAGCACTGGAGAAAGGTAACTGGTCGTTGTTCATCAGTACATAATACACCCACATATGTTTCCTGTGTGTTGTGTTTTCTTTCTGTATGTGACTGAAGTGTGGAAAATATCCACTTTGACTCAACCGAGCGAGGTCAGATTCACAATGTGTTTCCACAATGACGCGGTCTGCAAACTCTCTAACCTTGTAAATAAATATTTCAACTATGCACATTGGGAATATTGAATTAAAAATGTTTCATTTATTTTATTCAAAACCTGATTTTGATGGACTTACTTGTACAGCACTTTTCTAGTCTTCCGATGACTACACTACATGTCATCATTCACACATTCATACACTGATGGAAAGGGCTACCATCAGGACTAACTAACATTCACACACACACGCCACAGCTACGGGAGTAAATTTGAGGTGTGTCTTGCCCAAGGACACATTGACATAGCGGAGCCAGGGATCGAACCGTCGACCCTTTGATTGAAGAATGACCCTGTTCTACCACTGAGCCACAGTCGCCGTTTCACTATTTTGTTTGTATTGTTGTTCTGATATATGGAGTAATACAAAGACAAATCCGAAATTCCCTCTGTAAAAAACTTTTACTCTCGTGTGTCGAAAAAATGAAAGAAGAATTTTGAACACGTTTTTATCCAATGTTCTGGAAATGTAAGTAGTCAACTGAGGAAGTGAAAACTTGTATCCTCGTCACCTGTAGTGTCTCCCCTGGGGAGACATTTAAAAATATCTCCATAACAAACGCCATGTTCTTCCACACGGAGGAAAGACCAACGACAGCTCAGCAAGTTTTGAATTCATCCAATCAGAAATGGTCCATGTTGATGTCACAATGAAGAGGGGAACTGTCATGTCTTGTCTACTGTCACCTAGCAAATCTTGTAGTATGATACTGTGTTCTACTGTCCTGAAATTTATGTTCTTGATGATTGCATGTCCTGGAGAACATGCCTAATGTTCTGGACATGTCAAAAGTCTCCTAAATCTTGCAGTTGTAAACATTGATGTGGAATTTGGTAAACAGCAAGTCCTCCTCTAAGGCCACGTCCACATTACTCTGTTTTTGTTTGGAAACGCACATCTTTTGCTACGTTTACACTGAGCGTCCACACTACGCCGGAGTTTTAGAGCACCGTAAATGGAGGAGTTTGAAAACTCCGGGGTTGCTTTTTCGTGTGGACGGTCGGAACCGGATACATTCAGAAACGATGACGCCCACACCCGCGTTCGCTACTTGATTGGTTCTTAGCAGTCACGACGTGTCCTTCCCTGATTCGTCACACTCCTATCACGTGACCGTTTTCCGGAAATCATAAACAACATTGAATACCGATCGACTACCAGGTTAATTTAACATGATTACAGGCATAGCTGACCTTGTTGTCTTTACTAGCAGCTGTTCAGTTAAAGTCTGCATTATTACGGAGGAAGCAGCTGTTATTGG